TCTAATGCAATATTTCGAAAGACATTTCATGTTTTAGTTACGAATGTTTTGTTAACTTTGACGTCAGACGAACAAGACTTTCACTGGCAAATACTAAATTGCAGTGTTATCTGAGTGCATCGCATTATATTATCTAATATTATTAAATTTTTAAGAATAACGATGGTTCACTAATGTTACACCGTGCTCAATATCCACAAGATGATCAATAAAGTATTGTAAATGTATGCAATTTATTTACCCCGCAACTTGAAAAGCAGCCGAGGATGAATTGTTGGTGTCATCCATTGTGTCGCAGCTTTGTTTTTATTTTTGTCCTCAGAACGGTATTCCAATAAAGTCGCTCGCTTGCTGACTCCGTACAAAATTAATTAACGCAGTTGACAAAACGAAATTTTTCCGTCGAATAAATCTGCTTTTACTATCTTTGTTTTTATAGTTTTCCACTCTGTTTCACTCTCTCGCTCTTCCACACACTCCCTCTTGTTGGTAATCACTTGTTATGTTCTCAAAATAAATTGATTGACGTGAATGTGTATATGCGAGTGTTGTGACTCTTCCTCTGCTATTAGCTGTCAACTTTCTTGTTTTTTTTCCTCTGGTACTATGTGTTATGTTATCAAATTTTCTTTATATTTTGTCGTATTCGAAGTTTTTCGTGTCGTACTAATATTTTCACTGTCGCGGCAAATTGCGAAAAGTTTATTATTAAATTTTCCGTCTGTATTTATCCATATACACAATTAAAATCACAGGAAAATTTTGTTCCGATGCGAAGATGAAAAAATTCCGTCACTTGTTTCCTCTGTCACTTGACGTTTCTTTATTTTATTTTCACTACATGTTAGTGTTGCCAATCTATTTGGGGATTGTTGAACTTTGATATCAATTTATTTACACTTTTTAGTTTAATTTATTGCAATTAATGCAGCAATTCTTATCTAGTAAGCCTTGTGTCTTGACGGATCCAAGTTTAATGAACACATTCAACTTTTATATTACACCGAAAAATATCCTCCCCATCGGCACACATACGCATATAAATGATTGACTCGGTAGAGTTTCCAAATTAGACAAATTTCTCTCAACCGGTCTACTATACCATGGCAGAAGAATACAGGTAGATGCATCAACGCTTGGGAGCATTGATATGTCAAAAAAATTTAAATGTTTTTTCAAATATAAGTAGAATTTTATTTGTTTTCTTATACTACGTCATTCGGAGGCTATTATAATTCGCGTTTTTCAACAATTTTTACAAATTTAAATAACTTTTCATTCAACATTTTCAATTCCAAAATTGGTTTGACAGTTCATTGTCCCAGCAGATGTGTCGACGCGTCTACCTATATTCTTCTACCATGTACTATACCAAGAGCACAGCTGATTTTTAGTGCCATTTGTCAATATTCTTTAATTTTTTTCGGAAGGTTATTGTGGACTTATTTACTGAATGAAAATGTTAACTACGAAAATATAAAAAATCGTCCAAAAATTGATGATGGGCGCAGCAAAGTTCTTTGACATATAGAGATCAAAATAGCTGGATTTTTTTGTTTTATTTATTTATTTTATACAAAGAAGGTCCCGAATACCAATTATTCATGTTTTTTATGGGAATCAGGGTATTTACGGACAACACGGGTTTTACAGTTGTTTTGGTTTTGAATCCCTACATTCTTTTGACCATTTGTAAACATGCGATTGGCTACTTTTTCTGCATGCATGTAAAAATTTATATGACGTGTAATTATAAATGCAGCTGTATTGGTGTTCTTTACAAATACAAAAATATGATGTGAGGACCTTGTAAAATTAAAAATTTAATAAAAATAATTGAATTTCATCTGACTCCACACACAAAACACATCATGAGAACGGCAAAAACGGATTTAAATTGTAGTTTGTCTCCTCGTATCTTGTATATTCAATAATATGGCATCTCTATTGTTTCATGACAATTGTTAAGACGAACTTGAAATAGTACGGATAGTTATGGTCAATATTAAAGTACGTTTACATACAAAATATCTACCCGGATTAAGACCACAAATACATTTACTGTACTTTATAATTCTGGTAGTACCAACCATGGTACAATAAGGAGGTAGAACAGCTTCGTAAAACTAAAGAAATACAGCCCTGAGGCTATGCCCGCTTTCTGTCAAACTCATTCAAAATTTTATATTTTTGTTTTTTCATACTTTCCCTCATATTTTAATGAGTCAAATAGCGCGAACAATGAATGAAATGACCAGATTTTCTCTCAAAAACATGATCCAAACTGTTCAGTCTTTCAATTTCATGGCTGGTTGATAACTTTAATATGCGAGCCGCAATGTACATGTCTTCCAATTATTGGTTTTGGAAAAATTATTTATCATTTTCAAAACAATAAATACATACAAAAAAATGGCAGAAGTCGGGCACACTTAGACAAAAATTGTAAACAGCTGATAGCTCTACCTTACCTTTTTATTGTACCATGGTAACAACAAGGAATACTATTCTGATTCTTACCATGGCACAATAAGAAGGTAGAACAGACTCATTAAAAGTTATGTACAACAAGTTTTTTCCATATTTTTCAATTTTTTTCTCTTTTTTAAAATGAGTTAAATAGCGAAGGCTGTATTTCTGTAATTTTACGAAGCTTAAAAATTTACTTACATTTTGTTGGCTATTAGTTTATCTTTTGCTCTTTGATTACAATCACAATAATTTTGACATTGCATTTGGTAGTCAGGTCGTTTGGCAGGGGACCTTATACTTGAGCAATGAGGTCGGCCAAGAAAACTATATTGACAACAAACTTAGTATTTTGATTTCAAAAGAAATTCAAAAAATTCAAGATGCCTGGGAATTAAACATTTATAACCATGGTAGAATAAAAAGGTAAAGTCATCCAATCATATAACATTTTTTTTAATTATTCATTTGGCAACATTGTCAAAATTTATATTTACAAATCCATTGTATACACACAAATCAGAGATGGGAACCTATTTTTATACAGTGAAATTTGACAAGGTAAGTTACGGAAAATGCAGAGATGGGAATGCTTATTTAAAATGACTTTACCTTCTTAGTTTTACCATGTTTATAACAAAAGGGAACAACAATTTATATAATCAGTTTCTTAATTTTTGTGTGATAGAATTTTAAGTTTCTAATATATATTTATTTATTTTTAAAAATATATATTCAATCTATCCGCAAATAAAAGAAATTAAGAACACAAAAATTAAAAATGAATCGAAAAACAAAAAAATTGTGCTTGCGTTTTTCAAAATAAATATGTTTTAAAATGTCCGGAAGGAGAATAAGAGTTGCAAGTGATTGCAAGAAGAAATTGGTCCAGCAAAAATTTGCAAACTTTCAGCGAAAGAACTGCCAAGTCGCTGATCTTTTGTTAACAGACGACTTCCAGTAACAATTTCCAACAATTGTTATAAATTTGAGGGTAACCAGACACACCTAATAAATTTTTTATAAAAAAGAGAAATTGTACAAAGGAAACATTTTTTCTTTTATATTTTCACAGAACAAGAATCCATCCCACTTCTGCAATTTTTGTTATTTTCTTTGTCCAAATCGCCACATCTGTAGGTTTGGTTGCTCAACTACAAGAAACTAGGAAAAATGCAACTCTGTACCTGAGTCGTATAGTGTCAAATTTACACATGCAAAAATTGGTCTTGATTATTTTCCATTTTTTTTAACAAAATTCTTGCATTGGAAAGTCCACAAAACATGAGTGAATGAATGAATGAGTTATTCTTCAAAATTAAACCTTATATAGTAACACTATATCCCCTTATCCCAAAATTGTACAATTTGTTGGCCGTTAACGTCGAAAATTTGAATTTCTTTTGGAACTGAATTTAAAATAATTTGACATTATTTTACTTTTTATTTACAGCAATACATGAACATGTATTAATTGTGAATATGGTTTGACAGACAACATTGTATTTAGGAGGGAGATTTGTTCTACTTTTGCAATTGTGCCATGAGAGAGGACGATTTTTAATTTGATGGCCAAATATTAAAAAATCGAGATTTCCATAACATGAAGCCCCATTGGCAAAATAAAGTTTTATAAGGGAGATCCGCCAAAAAATTGACATCGATTTCGAACCACCCCACTTTTTAAGTTTATTTCAATAGGTATTTAAAATTCCACCCATTTAGTAAATCAAACAACTTTGTTGATATTTGAAATTGATTTTTGTTTTATATTATTTATTGTTTTGTTTTCATTGTAAAATATTTAAATTTATTGAATACGTAAATTACGTCGGGTATGCAGTATGCAAGATTTGATTTATTACTTATGACTTACAATGATGGATATTTTGACGACATAGTACATATGTACGTATGAAATTAGTGCTTAGTTAGAACAAAACGAAAATTTGGAAAAAAGTAAACAAAAATTATCTACAACGTATCATCATGTCGCGCAATAAAACGTCTTGTATTTGTTGCTAGAATTATGTATAAAAAATATAAAATTATATGTTTTTGACAATTGGGTAATTATTGTGATTACCACTTACAAGTTATTGGCTTCTCCCATTGTTATCTCTTCAATATATTCCACTTCCGGAAGTTTAAAAAACTAAGACTACAAACGTGCTTCTACGTACTTCACATAATGCTCCTGGTCGTTTATATCTGGCTTTATATCAGTATTTGGTATTTAAAATTCTTGTGTCACCTTTTATAGTTAGTAATCCTTAAGCAGTTTAAAATTAAATTTTATCATTCCTATTGCAACGGCGTAAATTTTTTTGTTTATCACGCTGGTTGTAAGTTTAAAATAAACTTATACTCGTGTATCAACTTCATATCATAGTTAAAATGTTTGCAATTTTCTATTGTCACATACCTACTACGCCATTGTATTTCTACATATTCCTATACCTTCTAATCCATTCGTTTATTTAAGGAATCCGGATTCTTACAGTATAAAATTGCAATACAATAAAAACATATTTATAAACAAGAGGAAGTTTCAGAAATTTAATTAAACATAAATTAAACATCACATAAATTCATTACAAAAGTTTTGCTTTAGTTTATCTGTTCAATATACAAATACAATATTTAACATGCAAAAAAAAAAAAGAATAAAAATAAAAACAAACATTAAAAGAAAATGGTTTAATAATTTAATTATTTTCTTATAGCAGCCAAATCAATGATCCATAAAAATATTTAAACGAATTAGTTTCGTTTATTTTGGGGTTTAAAATCTAGTTTCAAAATTGCGTTTGTTGTTCAGTTGTAGTAGCTGATAATTGGAGTTCTTTGTATTTGATAGTAATTTCATGTGTACTTCTCTACTTTAAAACGTTTCGCTATTGAATTAATACGTATTAATAATATTCAGTTTTGTGTTCAGCAGCATTTTGCTAAGCAAACGCTTTAATATCGAAGAAAATTGTTATGTGCACACAAAAAAGAATATTTAATTTTGGCAATTAGTTTCCGTTTCATTTTCAAATAGTTTGCAAACCTCAAATGTTGCATCAAAACCATTGTCGAACCTGTAAAATAAATATAAGGTAAGATTAAACAATGTTAAAAATTGTATTATTTGAAGAATAAAATTGCAAGTATGAAATAAGATATTATATTTATTTTTTCTTTTTTTGCAAAAACACATTGAGAATCTCATACCACTTTCATTATCACTAATAGTTAAATTTATCGTGATTGGACATATATCACATAGCATTACCCTTTAAAGGGATCAGCTCATTTTGTGTGCATATATAATTTTATATTGTTACAAATTGGCCCCATTTTGCTGTGGAAGAAGCTGTCAGTCTGTCTGGAGAGCAAGTTTCAAATTTTTCAATCGAACAATTAACAGGCCATAACATTGTGTCCATATCAGATCATTTTATGATTATGGATAAACTAAATAACTATGTCAGACTACATAATAACAATTTGATGCACTCCGCTTACAGTCTGCCGACCGTTAAGGGTTCTAATAACAACTCAGTCCTTAAAAGGTTTTAATACAAATTGACAGAAAAATTGTCATGTTGTGGAAATACTGGAGCCAACACATATACAGCTCTACAGGCCTGACGGAAATATTCAGAAAATAACATATGTTTTTGTATTGTAAAAATATTCCACTAGTCCTAGAGATATTTAGATCTCAATTCTAGATTACAGTGAAGTGTACAATGAACTATAATGTTACAATTAATATACATAGATTCGGGCTTTTTTATTGCATTATACTTACATCTTAATAGGCTAATAAAAATCACGATAATATAGCTACACTACGCCTAGGTCCACCTTGGCTTATGTTGTCCATAGACGACCATTTCTTAATGCCATTCTTCAAAGCTTCTGCAGTAACCTTATCTTGCATTACTCGTGACATTGCTTCCAGTTTCTGTGCCCTCTCTTTGGACAGAGGCTCAGTGGGGAATGACAGTTCATTGGCTTCGGCCAGAGTTCGCAAGTCAAAGTAGTACTTGGCATATACTGATGATGGAACATTGATGTTAAATTGCAAAAGTTCTAAGAATTGCCTTTCCAGCTCATTCATATCCTCGACTGTAATGTCTTTAAGGATTTGACAGTAGTCTACGTTCCATACCGCTTGATCATCCCATACCTTGGAGGCCAGCAGAATGGCGCCTAAAACGAAAATGGAAGTAAAATAAGTAAACAAAAAATGTGAAGCACACTTTAGATGCATACCCAAAACCATGCGCTTCCAATTGCAAGGAGCTATATCCAGTTCTGCATAAGTTAACAGACGTTCCAAATAGACTAGAGTTATGATGGCACACTCAGCAGTTAACTGGGCCGCATTGAATAGAGTACGTACAAACTTATATATTTGTCTGTGTTCGGGATTGTGCGAATCATAATCATTGGGAACGGGATCATGTGTCAGGGGATGTAGTTTCTCGTCAAAAATATCTAGACGTCTGTCAAATTGACGATTTTTTATGTGATAATAAATGGCTAGAGAAACACATTTGACGGTGTTCTTTAAATTCGGTTGGGACACTGTACTGTCATCCAAGTATATCGTGGAACACGAAGAAGACTTTTTCAAGCCACCGGAAGAATTGTGCTGTGCTATTTGGTGCTGAGATCGTTTGCGTGTAATGCCCCCGTTTTCCACTTTTGAACGTTCGAGAAACATTGTGGCTGCGGTAGGGTCAACAGAAGGGTCTTCTTCTCCCTCTGTCGCCTCGCGTTCTGATATATGCTGTAGAGTTTGTGAATTGTCCACCATTTCTGGATTGTGGTGTATGGCAGCGGTAGATGCTGTGTGAACTACACTATCTGTTAGATGATGTTGCGAGGTGTGTTGGTGTATATGATGACGTTCCTCATAGACGGGCGGTATATCTTTGGACTTTCGGTCCGATTGTGGACTCGAGTAGGCACAACATGAATTTTTATTACCCATTTTAATGCGTAATCTGTAGCTTTATGTAGTTGTTGTGGTAGTATTTCAGATGTGTTCGTAATACTAAGGATTTAAATAAGTTTTCGATTTTCTTTTTAAAGTTATATCTTAATAGAAGTATTCTGGACTAATAAATGCAATCAATGTCTTTCTTGTTCTCTTTTTTGATGTCAACGAATTCCACTGGACATATACGTGGAGTCTTCTCTTTATTCACACGTGATTAGTGGTTCTAAAAAACAGTAGAATAATAATTATTACATTTTAAAATAAATATAAACATGCAAGGAATATTAGTTAGGTCCAAAATATTAATATAAATATACTGCAACTACTTTAAACCATAGTATTTTGTTCCTTCGTATTTCATACTACGTTTGACATTCTCAACCTTTTTGTAAAGATATATTTTTTTTACTACAACCAATCCCTGTATTTCCGTAGTTTCCTATTTATTTGTGTGAACCAAACAGTATTACGAGTTTAATATGCCACCAATCTCTTATCCGAGTTATAGAGTTTAACGTTACAAAGAGTGAATACGTATCCTTATGCAAGCTTAACAAGTTTTATGACTTTGTTCATACATTTTTTAAAGATCTTATCAAAGACAGCTATTTAAAGGAACCCCATAAGTAGCATTCGCTCCTCATAATTACAATCAACCGATAATTTAAATAACTGTATATTGATACAAATGGACTTAGCGACATTCTGCTGAACCACTGGCGTCATAGAATATGTTTACATGAATGGAGATAACTTTATACAGTTTGAATGGTTTACTCGGCGACCATACTTGTAAACAGTAGCAGCTACACACAGCCACACAATTAATTTTAAAAGACTCGCCGACTACCTACTTTTTATGGCATTTCCTTTATATGCTGGAGACAGCAACACTTACAATATATAATCTGCTACTCCAACCGTTCACCCACTTGTGATCAGATGTTTTAAGATGCACAGATGCAGACACAAAAGAGAAAGAACAGAGAAACCAAGTACCAGCAAAGTTAGGTCAACATTGCACACTTACATTAACAATATGTGAAAAGCAACAGAACAGTTGCGGCCACGCAAATAGCTGCAGTTACTGCAGAATTTTAAGTTACATTTATTCTGCTCAAATATAAATATTAGTTGTTTTAGGAGGCAGTCCTCTGTGCAGGCAGACGTGACTGTCATTAGAAGATTGAAATGGATCGAAAGCCATGATATCAATGTACCAATTGATTAACCAATTTTTATAAAGATAGAACAAGCATATACTTAAGCCTCCCTAAACTCCTTTCTTTTGAATGAACGTAACAGCGGCAGAATACGTGTTGTACTGAGACCTTGTCTTAGAGTGTGTACATAACAAGATCAACAAATGGCTGGCACTAACAAATTTGATAAGAATTTCATAATTAAATAATGGAATTAAACAAATATTTATTCATGGGGTACCACGTAGAGCAGAAAACCTGAACACAATATCATTAGAGAAATTTGCAATTCGCTGGAAAAAGAACATGTGAAACTTACCAGTCACCAAATTTTGTCATCGCTTGTAGGCTTAACCCAACGTCGCCGTCGCCTATGTACATATGTATTTATTATTTGGGTGGGGGTGGGGCGTCTGAACGGTACTAGAATATGATTATTTGGCGGAGGAGTGTAGAATATTTAAAAATTGCAGAACTCAACAACTAGACGATGTTTCTCTCAATGAAAAACAGCTTCTTGGTAATAATCCAGCCTTGTAGGTTGTAACATTTACAGTTTGTTTTCTAAGATTGTTGTAGCTCTTCAATGGTCTCAAGTCGGACACCCACTGATTATTACCCCTTTATATTTTTTACACAGATTTATATCGAGCCATAATATATGCCTTTGATATTACCGACTACTCATGGCGTTTTATACAATAATTTAGTTATTTTTTGAAAATTCTCGTTGAAAAACTATTCTTCGCTTATTTTGTCTTTGGTATTTTTTCTTCGATTCTAGCGGTGTCAAATTAGCGATGAAAAGTCGATAACATTCGCAAAATACATCGCAGATCGCATTGCCAACTATAATAATAATCGGATTTGCGATTATCGATTATTAAACTTACTGGCAGCACTTAAAATTTAAGATACGTTTACAGAACTGAGTGCTAGCCCCTCTGGATTTAATACATTTAGTTGATTAATCAAAAAATTATTCAATCCCGTCGAAAAACAATCACATGATTGCATGACTTTATCTTCCTAACACTCATTTATAATAGATTCATTGGGTTAACCTAGTGCGTTTAAATACACCCTTAGGAGGATATAAATGCCGCTCATCTGATGTTTTGTAACATATACATAATTATTCATTATAAAAATTATATAGTGATTATTCACATTGGTGACCTTCTGCAAGGAAAGTGATACCTCTTCCAATGTATTATAAGGGGCAAAATAAATTTGGTCTGTTCCAGAACTGCATGAATATTAAAGTTTTTACTACTATAAACGAATTTCCCTTAATGATAACGAAAAAAATTTCAAAACTTGTAGATTCTGGCAGGTTCTGGAACAGAGCTATAGTAAGTATTTTTTTACTGGGAAAATTTCCCCAGTAAGAATTATCCAGTAACAGCAACTGTTCAATACTCAGTTCTTTTGTAAACAATCTATTTCTGAAGGAAAAAGCTCTTGAATTTATCAACAAAAATGGATAAATAAAACGTAAGTAAAGATGAAAACAAAAAATAAAGAGTGGATGATGAGATATTTGGTTCACTTAGGAGAACACCATCACCCACGCTTATATCATTTGGAGATCCAGGAAAAATAGATATTTGTTGCAGACGGTTATTATTAATTTTTCGTAATGAAAATATAAAAACAATAAACTGCATAAACATATTTATGTTGTTAAGATTTGCTCCAAAGTTGTTTTTAGCGAGCAGCTGTTACCTTACAAATGTTCGAAAAAATTCGAAATGCCGTCCGTTTATTTTTTGCATTTTCTCTCTCTCGAGAGAAAGCATATACAAATTAAGATATAGACAACGAAAATTTAGTTTAGTCTTTTTTTCCAGGTGGCTCTCATCATGTTTTGCATAGTCAACATGCTCATTTACGCGTTCAAGCCACTCGACTTCGAAAACACATTTCATCGTTTTTCAAGAATTTCACTTTATTATTCCGGAATTTTTTGATGTCATCTCGTAATTTTCACATTTATTTTATTATGAAACAATTTCCAACTGACAAATATCCTACAGTTTTTGTTATTTTTAACGTTTTAGAATTGAGTGACTTCAATATTCCCACTCAAACCCCTGAAACGATATAGACGACATCTGCTGATTCGATTTTTTTCGAAGATAAACAGTGAGAGCATTTCGTTGTCTATATTTTCATTTGTCTATGGAGAAAGTCGTATTTTTTTTTGTAACTTCTTAGTAAATGTTACTGTCAAACTATACAGGTATATTCACAGCGGAACTGGGTGCTGTAAAAAGGGCCATAGTCCAAGCCAAACAATATATAAAGACCCTCCAAAACAAAAGAAGATTCTAAACTGATATGACAGTGTAAGATCGTCGTTTTCGCCGATAAGATAAGATTAGTACTCATATAGCAGAGACGCCCTGTTTTCATTTCGTCTTACAATATTGACAGTCTTCGTCCAAGGATTAACTTAAATCCAGATTTATGTAGATCCGATTGTATTTTTCTAGCCCGACTCAGGATTGGCAAATGCTTATTTAACACTCGCTACTATTTTGAAAATACAATTCCAGCTCGATGTTCGATCTGTGGTGCGCTTATGAACGTTGAACATATTCTAGTAGAATGTCATCACTCTGCAATCAATTTGGGCATCAGATAAATACTCGATTTCATATCCCTAGAAAATACAATGCTTTCTGTGGTCAGCTTATCAAAGTTGAAAATATTCTAGTAGAATGTCAAAACTCTGCAATCAATTTTGGTTTCAAAAATTCTCGATTGTTCCACTAAAGTGTTTTTACATGGATCCGTTCAGCACTAAATATTCTTAATGTTCGTGATATCTAATTCAGATTCATACAATTTGTATGTTGTAATTCTAACTACATAGAATTTTATAAGAAACCTGTTCATATAAAAAAATTACCATACGCATAATGTCGTCTATGTTGTTTCAGGGGAATGAGTGCAAATATTGAAGTCACTCAATCCTAAAGTATTAAAAATATCAACAACTGAAGAATATTTCATATATTCCAGAATAAAATATAACTGTAAATTACGTGATGCGCAAATAATCAAAATTAACTTTTCGTTGTCACTCCGAAAATCATCAGTAAAAGATTTTTTGTGATATTCTAAATTGAATCTTCTTTGCCATAACTATTCAACTTGGGTCTGATTACGGTCTGCTTTTATAGTCAGTGTGTCATCTTAAGTTAAAGACTAATTTTAAGTCATTGATTTTTTCCAGTTGATTTGCGTTTTGAAAATTAAGCTACAGTTTGACAATATTAGTTTTATACCTTTCACCAGAGTATGGAGGGTATATTAAATTTGTCAATCAGTTTGTATCACCTCGAAATATAAATTGTATTAGCATATATATTCTTGATAAGTCCGTCTGTGAAAATCGCTATAGATTCTGAACAAATTAAAGTAGGTAGATTCATTTTAATTTTAAAATTGCCCATACAGGTCCACACCTTCGTATAACTTTCATATAACAGTTCCTCTAAATATTCGGTACTTTGATGATTTTAGCTACGTTTTTCACCAGTTTCTCTGGCAGATAATTGGCTTTACCTGTAGATATTCGGATATGGTGTAGGATACTAAATGTTCAGTCCGGCCGAACTTAGCTGCTTTTTTAACTTGTTTTAATTGTCAAATAAAAGTCTTTCCAACGTTTGTTTTTATTTTATAAGTAAGTAGTTTTATTATTTTCATTTATTATTCTTTTGGATTTATTATGTATGTATAGTAAATATATAAGTATATGGTTATAATAAATGTCTTTTTATTCTTTTTTGAGATTTCAGTTGTTAATAATGATTTATATTAGCAATTTGTAGAACGATTCACTTTGTCATGGTGAGTTTCGAATAAATATATAAGTTTATTAAATTCTTAATGTAGCTTTTGTTGTTTGTTGCTGCAAATGTGATTTCTGTTGTATTTGTGGAAATACATTATAAGTATCTTAAATAATAATTTTTCCTTTTTTTATAAATAAAAAAATGAAAACTTGAGAAACGTTAGGTGAGGATATGAAAATTTTTACATGGTTAGGAAATTTGGTTGTTGATAGGTGCGTTGATTTGTTTCTATGTTTGCATACATGTATACTATTTTGTGTCATTATAGGATTATTTCTACATTGTTAGTGTATATGTATATTTTTTATTTTTTAAATATTTGTTATTTTTCTTCTTTTTTTATTATATATAATGTTTGTATTTACTTTAATATAATCTAGTTTGTTTCCTTGTTGTTGCTGTTATTCATAAACCAACTAATTTTAAATGATTGCTTTCTTTTCAATGTATTTATTTTTATTTTTATTTTTTTTTAATTTTGTCATTTTGTAATCTAGTTGCTGTCTTTGTTTATTTTTTTGCAGCAGCAGCATTTTATAATTTAAATTAAGCTTATTTTAAACTAATAGTTTTCTACTAAAACTACACATTACATTGTTTGCTTTTGTGTATGCTACAGATTACTTGAATATTAATTAATATTTATTGCAACATGTTTCATTATGCATTCAATTTATATTTATTTTCTTTAATTTGCTTTAAATATAAAGTAACGATATGCGTCAACAGAGCAAAAAATAAAATTGATAGATTTTAGTGTTGCTTGTAGAAGTTTTAAAGAATCAAAAATCAACAATTATTACAAAGTGTAAGTTTGGAACGGCACAAAAATATTCAAAGTAGCGATTTTGTTGTTCTTGTTTATGTTGGAATAGGTATTCAACAGTTTTTTTATTTTTCTTATTATTTTCACAGTCGTAGAGGCACTGAGTGCAGAGAAATAAAAAAGTATTGGAGGACAGATGGACAAATGTTAAAGATGGTTTAATATTTTGGATGCGCTTTCCTCAATTGGTTTTTATTATGCATACAAATGTTTGTCGGCGAGTTTTTTTAACATTTCCTGAATATGAAATAAAAAAAGAATAAAAAATCGGTGGCTCTATAATCAGAATAAAAATAGCTTACCCTGTTTGTTTTTAATGTAATAATGTGGCTGTTATAGGGGTATCAAAAATGTCATTCTTTTTATCAGTGAAAAAAGATATATTTTTTGTCAAGTTGGAATTCACGACGCTATTTTTTTAATTAAGATGGATATTTACTTTTCTCATTACGAAGAAGCTAATATTTATTCTGGGAACTACGACAGCGAATTTCTTCTATAGCTGACATTAATGAATCATTTGTAATGAAAACAATATCATATTATGAATGCTTATACTCAGTTGTTCTTAAACACTCGAAAAAGAACACGAGACAAATGCAGTCTATCGAATTCGACTAGAATCAGATTAAATTAAACAAATTGTAACGAGTGCTGACCAACCGACAACTTTCTCCATTGACTTGTGTGCTTGACAAGTAAGACAACAATTGCTATTTCAAATCTTGAATTGAAAATTGCAAAAAAAAATGGCAAAGCTATTAGCTTCTCGCATCCACCCACTATTAAATGTGCTGACCAACCGACAACTTTCTCCATTGACTTGTGTACTTGACAAGTAAGACAACAATTGCTATTTCAAATCTTGAATTGAAAATTGCCAAAAAAATGGCAAAGCTATTAGCTTCTTGCAGGGTCATTTGGCACTTTGAATTTTCCATCGAACTAACAAATTAGAATTATTAATCTTATTCTTCCTCGTAGACGGAATTTCGGTGATCGGATATAGAACCTAAACTAAAAGCGAAGGTTTCAATTTTCATCGATTGGGAAATATTAAGCCTTGCAGGACTTATAAAAGATTTCTTTCTCATCATATAGCATCCTCTGGGATCTTGGACAATCGGGAATGTTTTTCACGAAAATTGTTACTTTAAGTATTTATATACGTCAATTGAAAATATCGACAAACAAGAGTATACAGGAATCTTGTGTTTTCAATTTAAATAATCTTTAACCATTTGCATATCTCATGGGTCGTCAATGTTCTGTTTTGTTTTTGTTTGCTTGTAAAACCAATATTATTTGTTGATGGTTTTGCTATTATTGTATTAATATATCCAATATAGTTCTGTCCATCCATTGTTCAGTAGGATGTTACGTGCAGTGTTGTTGTTTGTTTTGTTTTTCTTCTTTTTAAAATAAATTGTAGTAGATATTTGTTTTATATTAGTTATATTTGATGCTGTGTTGTTGGTAATGTTTTGCAATACATATATGTATGTATTATTTTTTAAATATAGTTTAAATCGAGTGTGTATTTCATTTGTTTTTACTACCTTAATAAAGCTATGATCCCAATTTCAGCTGATATTATGGTACCTTACTGCTAAGTATATTTACCATTGCTCTGATTGAAACTGAATGTGGGTTCGAAAAACATTAGGAAATAAATAAACATTATTCCAATGTTTGTTTTACTCCTATTATATTCTTTCTATTTGATCGTAAAATGTGAGTTTGTCTAATTTTATTTAATGTTTACTACATAAATGTTTGTGGCGTTTTCGGCCTGCGAAATACGTTCCTACTCCAATATACTGAAAAGAATGGTCAATTTAACAGAAATAAAGTTTAGATAGATTGTTCAGAGCAATGGTAAACCTTAAAAGACTGGTCCCGCTATCAGACATTTTAAAAAACGTTTTTATTTCTAAACACTTTGTGTGTATTCTCAATTGAGTTGATAACTGTAAAAACCAAAGGATCAACATAACCAGTTTGTAACAAAAAATTCATTCTTCGACACATTCATTCATACGACCAACCAACCTATAAATCTGATTCAAAAATTGTATAAAAATAAATAACAATCCTCGATTTTTCTTTCATTCTTTCATTCATTCCATTTTGTAATAGTAAATAGAGTTATAGGCTATATAATAAATAGTTTTCTTAGCATGTAGTATTGTATTTTTGTTCTTTTCAGTTTCCTAATTAAATAGTTAAGATTCGAGAAGGGGAAATTTGCAATAACAAATAAAATTGTTCTTTATTAAAAAAAAAAAAAAAAAAACAGAAAAATAATCCAAGTTTAGCATAGATAGAGGCAAAGACAGTCAAACTTATTTACAATTGTTGTAGAATAGAATAAAGACAATCAGTTTTTAGGTACATTTTCATTGTGGAAATCACTTTCAGTGTATGTTTTAATAGTTAGGCATGTATATGTCAATTTATTGTTGTTTTGTTTTCCTTTCTTGCTTTATACACAGTGTGCTTGGGTTAATATATTTTACACATATTATACGCACAGAAATCATTATTTTGCAAGCCAAAGGATAACATGTTATTGTTTGCTTCTTCTTCTTATAAATACAAGTCAAAGGATCACATGTTATTGTTTGCTTCTTCTTATAAATATATTAAATTAAATTGCATTTAAAAAGGAGTTATTTTAAAACCTTGTGATATTGTTTTATTGGACGCTGTAAGCATTTTCAAATGCTATGTATGGCGAATCTTTTAATAAAAAAAACGAAAACGACTAAAATATACAATAAAAAATAAAAAAATTAGTTGCTTTGGAACAAAATTCATTAATGTTAAATTTCATATCATTTAAGAAAAAGACAAAGGTATCCCAACTGAATTTATTAAAAAAAAAAACATTTAATTCATAAAAATATATTCATTGTGCATCCAAATGTTAAGCTCGAAAATTTTTCGGTCTTGAATATAAAATGCAAACTAAACTTTTTAAATATGTGAAAGTCGGGGTAATATGTTTTTATTTTGTTCTTACTACGATGAAACATTTACTTTTTCGATCCCTACTTCAGTAAAAAAAGATTCTGAAATGCCGAAAAAATTCAGCCGAAAAAATTCAGCTAACATTTTTAAATTGAAATTGTAAGTATTTTATTATCAACACAAGTTAAAAAAAAATGTCACACGTTGGGCACGCTCACCAAAAATTGTAATCAGCAGATAGTCATTCAATTCCTTTTTATTGTACCTTGTGGGTATCCATGAAACATTCATTACAAGTTAGGACAGGGCGATTAAATTTGATTATCATAAGAAATTTTTGAATTTAAGTGATTTATCTGACCTACCTTTTAATTATTGTACTATGGTGTACCTATTCATTTTTTATTAAATAAATACAACAATTTTCAAAGTATTTAGCTTTTAATTTATTCTTTGCAGAATATGTATAAATAATGTGAAAAGTGTTCCTGTTCAATCGTAATTTTGAAATCTTGCTTTTTTGGTCTGGTTCAAGTATTTATAAAAACGTTACATTAAAAAAAGTTGTTGCGAATAATTGATTCTGCTAGGAAGAGGTTATTAGCCTCGAACAACCAGAATGAATGTTGAACCTAGAAGAACCACAAGATTACATTTGGTTCTAAAGTCTTATTTCGTCAAATATGCTTTTAAAACATGCAACAATTGATTTGTTTATATTAATTTTTTTCTCACATTTCTTAAATTGAGAAAAACACAAAACCTGTGTGACATATTGGGGTTTATGGTATAATTAATAGATAACTGCATGTGCTGACGTTTTGTTGAAAGTAATATAATTTAAAAAATACGTTTTCTGAATGAGTCTTGCCCTTAATGCACAGGAATATTTAATTTGTGGTCTTGGTTATGGGACTCAGTATTTGGTGAACGTAATTTCCAAATGATATTAGTAAATATTATTTACAACCAACATTTTTTTCTTGTTTCAAATTGTTGTACAACAACAACACCATGGTAGGACTTATACCACACATTTAAATCCACAATAGAAAGGCAATATTGTTTTTCCAAAAATTGGTTAATTTATTCCACATTTAAATTTGAACAACATTTTAATTGCTTCCCCTTTTATTCAAAACAATGAACACATATACACGTGGTGTGTGTGTTTTGACAAAATATGGGCACAAAAAAGTGATATTTTAAAGGTAGTTTTATTCTACCATTAGTTATTGTACCATGGGTATAACTGTAGAGTTTGCCTTTAGTACCAACCAAAAGATGTTGTCCCTTTCCAGTGTAACATTTAGGAGTGCTTCACAAATCTTTGAGATATAAAGAAAAACGTGTAACATATTATTCCATACAATAACACGTAAAAAATAAATAATAACTCTAAACAAATCAAAAATATTAACAATTTTGACCTAAATTTATTTTAATGTTTATATAATAACAAAAAAATTGTACCAACAAAAAACTTATGTTTACCTCACTGTAACAGACATAGCAGAATAAAATTTGATATAAATCTTAACAAAAATTGATTATCTCAACTTAGGATTACTTTGATATAACTGCGAATAATTATTTCTGCGGTATATTCTAATGTTTATAATATGTGTACATACACGTACATATATATTTTTCTTTTATGTAATATTTACAAAATTCTTTGTTTCCAAAAAATAACATACACAGGTAAATACATACACATGTTTAAATATATTTTTTATTTAATTCAAGCGTAATCATGTGGTGTTTTTGTTTGACGTTTTTTTTTTTTTGTAAATAAGTTTATCTTTTTAAAATATATATGTATGTATTTTTATTTTGTTTGGGTTACTTATCTTTGTGAATGTATTAATAGTTAGTTCTTATAGCAATTTTGTAAAATTAGGTTGAATAACTTGCTGTTCTTATGGCTTTCTTTTCAGGGTCCTTTTAGTAAGTTGTAGAATTTAGTATTACTTAGTATTACTTAATTTGTATTTTAATAATATATTTGAGCTTTCATCCAAATGTATTTTTGCTTAAACTTCAAAGTTCATACGATGGACGTATCGGTTATCATGTTTCTTTAAGTTTGTCTATGATCCGGTTTTTAGTCCTCAGATTTTTTATCAGATTCTTCTAATGCGGCTGCAGCTGCTCTGGCTTCTGCATCTGTAAAAATTAGTAAGAATTAATTGTTGTTCTTGGAAAAAAAATATCTCAGAAACGGAATAGAATTTTTTATTGAGATTAGAAAATAGCTCAATTTATTCTCTTCCATTTTACATTTCTGGAAAATCTAAAAGTTTTTCCTTTTCACTTCAAAGAAAAAAATACAGATTTTCTTATGGGACGTACCTTTAATGGCTTGTTCCTTCCATATTTTCTTATTGTCAGTTAGACACGCAACCCAGGGTTTACGAATCGTAAATTTATGTTTAAATGCAGTTGCAGCTGATGAACTCGATCCGCCACCGCTGACAACTCCCTTACTTTGCGTTGCCACTGGCTGTGTGGAGTTGTTAGCATCTTCGGAAGATTTATTCTCATTGTCTTCGGTTATTGCTTCGCAGGTTGGACGATTTTTCAAATTACTTCGACTCGTACTACCCGTTGATGTGGGTCCGTCAACGGGCACATCGCCGGCATCTATACTTGCATTGACGTTCTTGCACATCGGAGCTATTGGTGCCAAAACATGCTCCAACATATCCGCCATGACAGACATACTAGGATCCACAATGAAATCGATAAAACCAATCTGTGATTCGGCCACCAAAGTGTTATTACGATCGCACAAGGGGCTGAATGGCAGGCCCAATTCCCTTTCAAGATCACCCTGGCGGAAGAATTCCTCCAGCAACAACATCGTCCAGCGATGATGGAGATTCCAACGTTTGGCAGGATGCGAAATGTCACAACAGTGGAGGACCAGGGCCAAAGCCTTAGACTTATCAACAGTAGCCTCATTGAGTGTGAGTAGATTTTTCATGTTTTTCAGTTGCTGAAAGTGGAAGGACATGTCGGTGGATAGCACCATGTCGATGACGAGTGTTCTCAGTTCGCGGTACTCCTCTCGTGATAAATTCGAAAGCACATTGCAGTCATCATCTTTTAGCAAACGAAACGCGGCGCTTATGTGATGATTTTCCAAGACCGCGCGGTCATTGTACAACAAGGCGGTCTCCGAGCCGGACATCACGTGGAAATTGTTGGTCGTTCCTGTGTGTTCGTAGTCATGGATGAGAGCCGCCAACAGGGTGGCAAATATTTCGAGATCTGTTAGCCAGTTCATTAGGCCCGTTTGGCACAGCATGTGGTGGACCGTTTGGGTGACATCTGCCGCGTGCAAGTTATTGTGATATGGATTGCGATAGCGGCAGTAGCCCTCCTCGATTCGATTTAAAAATATTTCCAGGGTAGCGGGTGCAATTTTGAACTTGTGAATTATGCCGTATCGGTTGAGCAAGTCATAGCCAATGTATTTGACAGGTTGGCCATTGGCAGCCTCTGCCAAAGCGAATACATCAAAACACCAGTCGTCCAATGTCTAAATTTTACCAAAGAAAAAATTCCATTTACATCTGTTCGTTAAACATAATCCGACATTATTTCTCCTTACCTTCAGCACTTTGACCACCTCTGGAGGAAAAGTCATAAGCGCAGTACTTGAAACTCGTCGATAAATGCGGTCCACAAAAATACCAGCCCGTATGGCATGTGCCACTGAACGAAACTTGGGTTTCTCATCGGTTTTCTTACGCGTGGTAGCCAACTGCCGCGTAAATGTGGATGCCAACCATTCCCGCACCTCTGGCGGGACAGCATCCGGCTGCACTTCGGACAGTTCATCGTCTTCATCGGCGAGGCGTCTATAGGGTTTCAAGGACAATTGGTGGGATATTTTGGGAGTTTTAGAAGGACAAAGGAGAAATAAAAATCACAATTATTAGTATTTCGTTGCAAGATTTGTTCTAACGAAAATCCAAAAACAAAAACTCGAACGGAAAAATTTAAAGGTTTTTCAACAAACTTAGCGGTAAATACAAAAAATAAAATACTAGGATCTAATTTAGGAAAGCAAAAGCCTAAATAAAGTTCAAAATTCTTTTAACAGAGAAACAAAATCAAATGAAATTAGAAAGTCTTGTTATGTTTAGGGAGTGCGCTAATTTCTGTATTTTTTTTTTTTTGTTGGCTTAATACAGGCAAGTTAGTGGTGTTGGGGTTTGGTAGTTCGGTTAGTGGAATTGTGCATCATAATTATGTGTGAGTGTTTATTGTTATTGAGTATAGCGTATGTATGTGAAATGTGAGTATTGGTAGGTATGCAAAGTGCGGAAATGTGTTATCGGTATGTGTTTGCAAAGCGGAACTACGCAGAAGTATAAGTTATATCAACGAATTCAATCTCAATGAATTAAGAGTTCACTAGTCCAAATTTGTGAGTCGTTGACAGATAGGTTGCATTGATTTCTGTTTTCTTTTTCTTGTAAGAGTTTGCGGTATGATTAGTTTTCCATCAGTATTTACAATAAATCTAATTAATACTAAAAAGGAAACCAGAGGAAAAACGTATGTCGGCATTGGCATTCACTACATATTGTCTACATTTCATGCGTATGTAATTCTATATTAACATTAAACTGAAGATTCCGATGTTATTGTTATCTAAATTTGCATTGAAAATGAGAAGTAGAACCCGAAAGACACCACATACCCGTCATTGTGTCACACGTTCCGTCGTTACTAAAGCGTTACATTTGACATATTTGATGTGGATGGTCTTCAAAGCAGCGAACGAAAATAAACTATATGAACAGTATGCAATCGTATCGTTCTGTATTTTCTCGAAGTAGGAAACGAAACAAAATCGATATTAAGATAACGGGACTTGTTTGTTAAGTTGTACTGTTTGCGCCGGTGAGTGAAACGAAAACAAAGCAACAACAAAAAAACAATATTGGAAACGAAGCAGTACGATATAAATACATTGCTAACGTTTCCCTGTATATTAACTCATTCTAAATAATGTACAAAGTAATATTAAGTTAAATCCATGGCATTTTATTTATTTATTTGTACATCATACAACGAAAAGAGACACAAAAAACAATATTTACAATGACAGCTCTTAATGTTCCAGTCATCGTTTTACACGGCAAACGTTTGGAAACGTTTCATGGCGACTCGTTTGCAAACGATACATCTCGGCAATCCACAGCCGAAGTACATTAAGGCAATCGTATTGTTTGTGTATTTCTGGCATTGAAATGTTTTTGGTTCTGTTCTGTTTGGAGTTCAGAACGATGAAAAAAATTTAATAGTTTGTGACTTCGTGTGAGCCGTACGATATTCGTATCGTTTGTTTTCGTTCGCTGATTCAAAGCCTGTATTCTGGTATGCATTTCTTAAAAATATGCAACCCTTGTAACCACTTCGCGCCAAAATCGCTTGGCATATGTGAAAAACGTCGAATAATGGTGTGTAAATTTAAGCTACCGATTATGTTTTAGTACCGATTTTTGAGTAATAATTACTTCTAAATATTCTCTTCTGGAGCCGGTAACTGGAGCTCAGCTACCCTACTCCGTTTAAATAGCTTTTAAGATATAATATGGAGTAATTTAGCATCGATAATTGAGTTATGACAATCTTGATATCTTACGCTTACATTTTTAATAAACCAATCGCTTTAAGACAGATAATATAAAAATGTGTCAATTAGGGCAAAGTCATTAATTAATGTTTCTAAAAAAAATTGTCTCATTGATATCAACAACGGATATTGATAAAACTTTAAAGACATTTGAATTGTATATGAGGAATGATAAAAGAAGGCGTGTTCCGAACATAAATTAATATAGAGTACATATTACTCGTTTACTCAAAGAATGGCATAACTCAAAAATTCCGTTTTTGGAATTAAATGTGTTTTCTCGAAATTGCATTTTTTAAGATGTGACACCCTTTGAGTATGTGAGCGATAGGTGCGTAAAGTTAGACCCAAAGAAAATTTCTTAAATTTGCTATTATTTTGAATTAATTATTAAGAGTATGAAATTAATTCATTTGTTCTTAATATTTTTAATTGTAATTTTAAATTTCCGAAAAGCAAAAATAAATAAGTAAAGATTCACTTCTTGCTTATATACTTTTTTGTTTGATTTAGAAGATATCAGCCTTTGTAAACCAGCACTATCCAGTAATAAACAAACCCAATAGAATATTGAACCAGTAAAGAAAGTCTTAAAGTCGGGCGGCCTACACCACTTTGCTAATTCAGTAGAGCTACACATAACAATTAAAAGTTTTTATGGGAGAATTCAATCATACACGCAATGATTATAATTATAACTTAAAGTTCAAAGGACTAAATATGCCGAAGCATTTGTATCTTTAAAATTCGGAATTGTATTGCCCATTTGGATAACGCCCAATGCCCATTCTGAACCGATCTCGATAAAATTTAGCAAAGATATTTCTGAGCTGTATTTGATATATTTCCCTGAATATCGTTGTTACGGAGTGCATATTACGGCGGCGGTGGACAAAAATAACAAATCGGATGAACAATATACATGGGAGCTATAGCTATATCTAAACCGATTTCCATCAAATTTGGCATACTAGCTTCTAGACTCAATAGACTCGTAAGTGCCAAATTCCATCCCATTTGGACAAATATTAGACGTTTGGTGCACAATAAAAAGTAAATCGGACGAAGTTATATATGGGAGCTATATCCAAATCTGAACCGATCTCGATAAAATTTAGCAAAGATATTTCGGAGCTGTATTTGATATATTTCCCCAAATATTGTTGTTGTAGAGTGCATATTATGGCGGCGGTGGACAAAAATAATAAATCGGATGAACAATATATATGGGAGCTATAGCTATATCTGAACCGATTTCGATCAAATTTGGCATACATATTTTCAGGCCTAATTTGGGTGTATATGCAAAATTCCATACAATTCGGGCTGATATTACACGTTTGGTGCGCAATAAAAGGCAAATCGGACGAAGATATATATGGGAGCTATATCTAAATTTTGACCGATTATTTCCAATTTCAATAGGGTTCGTCCTTGGGCCAAACAAATGATCTGTGCAAAATTTCATCTGGATCGGGCAATAAATGCGACCTGTACTTTGTTTACAAAAATACATGGACAGACGGACAGACGGATGGACGGACGGACGGACGGACATGCATAAATCGACTCAGAATGTGATTCTATGCAGATCATCAAAAGGAACTATGGGTCTATCTCGTTTCCTTCTGCCTGTTACAAACAAATGCACAAAGACATAATACCCTGACCACCTTGTGGTGTAGGTAATTTTTAAAGACGAAACTATTTTGTGCAAAAGTTGGCCTTATTTAGTAAAAAGGTTTCACGACAGTATGCGTATTTCCATGTGATTCAGTCCTTGCTTTATAAAAAAATGTCTCTAAATTAAAACAAGTCCCTAACATGACAATTGACATGCCTAATTATCCAACCATGGTAAAAGACTATAGGTAGACGCATCGAAACAGCTGCTGGGACAATGAACTGTAAAACCAATTTTGGAATTAAAAATGTTGAATGTTGCTGATTGAATGAAAAATTATTTAAATTTGTAAAAAATGTTGAAAAACGCGAATTAAAATCTACTTATATTAGAAAAAACATTTACATTTTTTTGAAATATCAATGCTCCCAATCGTTTATGCATCTACCTGTATTTTTCTACCATGTATCCAACCATAAATCGAGCAAAATAGTTCACCATAAAATAGAGGAAAAATAGAGCCAACAATTAAATACATCCAGACTGGCTTTTAAGAGCGAATTTGTAAACTATATAAAACTATATATATCTACAGATTCGAATCAAAAACAAAATAAAATAGTAAATTTTAACATTTCAAATTCAACATTCATAAAGTTAAAGATGGGATATATTTACTGTCTTTGTTTCATGTAATACGCTTTTTTGAAATAGTGTCAAAAGTGGCGGCTTCTTTTATTCTTTTTTCCTATGATACTCCTCTAAATTTGTCTAAAAAATATTTTATATACGCCCTTTTTAAAAAGCTATAAAAATAAACACTTTTCTTTTTATACCCTACACCACAAGGTGGTCAGGGTATTATGTCTTTGTGCATTTGTTTGTAACAGGCAGAAGGAAACGAGAAAGACCCATAGTTCCTTTTAATGATCTGCATAGAATCACATTCTGAGTCGATTTATGCATGTCCGTCCGTCCGTCTGTCCATGTATTTTTGTAAACAAAGTACAGGTCGCATTTATTGCCCGATCCAGATGAAATTTTGCAAAGATCTTTTGTTTGGACGAACCCTATTGAAATTGGAGATAATCGGTCAAAATTTAGATATAGCTCCCATATATATCTTCGTCCGATTTGCCTTTTATTGTGCACCAACATCAGCCCGAATTGTATGGAATTTTGCATATACAACCAAATTAGGCCTAAAAATATGTATACCAAATTTGATCGAAATCGGTTCAGATATAGCTATAGCTCCCATATATATTGTTCATCCGATTTGTTATTTTTGTCCACCCGTAATATGCACTATGCAACAACAATATTTGGGGAAATATATCAAATACAGCTCAGAAATATCTTTGCCAAATTTTATCGAGATCGATTCAGATTTGGATATAGCTCCCATATATATCTTTATCCGATTTCAAATTAATTATGCACCAAATGGGCAATACAATTCCGAATTTAAAAGATACAAATGCTTCGGCATATTTAGCCCTTTGAACTTTTAATTATAATTATAATCATAGCTTGTATGATTGAATTCTCCCATAAAAACTTTTAATTGTTATGTGGAGCTCTACTTA